CAGGGAGCCCGATGTGGGACTCGATCCCAGGACCCTGGGATCATGACCTGAGCCGAAGGCAGACGCTTAACCATCTGAGCCACCCAGGCGCCCGCAGTTTTACCTTCTTAATTATGGTTTGCCTATTCTAATACTAGAGGTAGATAGCTAACATTCCCTGAGCATATAATAACTTAATGAAGAAGTTTTTCTTGTTAGCTAAGGGAATTAAAGTTTGCTCTGGACTGTCTAGGAGTGTGCATTATTCTGTTGCTTATCAAGAGTTTGCTCATTATCTGTTAACATTGCTATGGAAAATTCCACATATACACGAAAATAGAATATTATAATGAGCTCTTTCCCCCACCTTGTGCCTAGCATCTACCTACAGTAATTATCGGAGAGTTTACTGATTTTTGAGTACTGAAGCCAGATGACAAATGGCCAATTAAGCCTTCATTACCAGTACAGTGAAAGCCGTTTTGTCTTTGAACTAATTTTGTCTCTTGATTTGACCAAGGAAGAAATCCACCAAAGGAAATAATACAAGAAAACTTAGTTATGGAGGAAGACAGGAATTTAGCTTCAGTTCTCATTAAAGCCTAAATGAGTTTCCTGTATGCTTTAACTCTAATAATGTTGTGTAAAATTAAATGTGTGGATTTTATCTTTTTACAATTGCTGCTTCAAATCTGGAACCCTAATTAACATGTGGTGAGAAGTTAAGCAGGCCTCTCTAGAAGTGGTATTGTTGTCAATTAATTTTGATTCTATGTATTTTTTATTTTAGGGACATGGGACTGGAGTTGTTTAGGGCTCATATTATAAGTGATCAGAAAGTCCAGAATAAGACAATTGATGGCATTCTTCTCTTGATTGAGAGGGAAAGGAATGGTGAAGCAATTGATAGAAGTTTACTCCGAAGCCTTTTAAGCATGCTGTCTGATTTGCAAGTAAGTTAACTTACAGAACTGATTGCTACTCCTAGTTTGGTATTTAAAAACCAAATTCATAGTGCTGTTCACGTAGAGGATGTTTAATAAATATTTACTGAATAAATGAACTCCTTTATTTTGATCCCTCCTCCCAGATTTATCAGGATTCTTTTGAGCAACGATTTTTGGAAGAAACTAACCGGCTCTATGCAGCTGAAGGCCAAAAATTAATGCAGGAAAGAGAGGTATTTAAAAATCATGATTAATAAATCCACTGTGTCTCACAGTAGACCTTGCACTCTAGAACATAAGCTGCCCTTTGCATTTATCTTCCCAACATTGTGATGCTTTTTTCCTCACTTAGGTGCTCCTTTCTTTTCTCTCTTCTTAAAGGCCAGAATTCTGGATCATAAACTACCTATAATTTTACGTATGATTCAACCCTGTCACATTTGACCGGGCTGTTCCCGGGATTTTTTGGACTTGACATTTTCTGAATGATTTATGGGGAGGAAAACAATAATATAAAAAACTATCTTTGTAGGTTCCTGAATATCTTCATCATGTTAACAAACGTCTAGAAGAAGAAGCAGACAGACTTATTACTTACTTAGATCAGACCACCCAGTAAGTATTATATGCTCAACCTAATAGACTTTAACCAGTGTTGTTGAATCACTTAAGGCACTTTCAGTGTCCCCAAACGCATTAGTACCTATTTTCAGGTGTGATTTGAGATTTTTTTTTTAAAGATTTTGTTTATTTATTTATTTGACAGAGAGCACAAGAAGGGGGAGCAGCGGAGGGAGAGGGAGAAGCAGGCTCCCTGCTGAGCAGAGAGCCCCATGCAGGGCTTGATCCCACGACCCTGGGATCATGACCTGAGCCGAAGGCAGACACTTAACCGACTGAGCCACCCAGGAGCCCCTGATTTGAGATTTTTAACAGTTGTTTTCTTGATGTAAACTTCATTTCCGTCCAGCTAATTAGATTTAATCAGTTAAATCTAATGTGTATGTGTTTAAGCAATTTAAAAATAGTATTATTAGAGGGGTGCCTGACTGGTTCAGTCAGTAGAGCATGTGACTCTTGATCTCAGGGTCATGAGTTCAAGCCCCACACTGGGTGTAGAGCTTACTTTTGTAAAAAATGAAAAAAAAAAAGTATCAGAAACAGATGTGATCTTCGAAATCTTAAGGCTGATTAAAATTCAGTAGATGTTTGGAGGAGAAACTGTTTCTGTGCTTTCCTAAATATTACCAACCAGGGAGTTCCTGTAAGCAGCATAGATAACTACCTTCCTAATAAAAGCAGAGAAACTTGGAAAAAGCCAGCCGTAGCAATACCATGGAAATATTGATTTAGTGATGTAAATCAAATTTTGAAATATTGCACTTTTCCTTCTTATGGTGTAGAGTAACTCTGAGCACCAATACATTTAAACATAGGATAGGGATATTGAAATTAACATAAAACAAGCTATTTGAGGGGTGCTTGGGTGGCTCAGTTGGTTAAGCATCCTAACTCCTGATTTTGGCTCAGGTCATACATGATCTCAGAGTCGTGAGATGGAACCCTGAGTTGGGCTCAGGCACTGGGTATGGAGCCTGCTTAGGATTCTTTCTCTCCCTCTCCCCCCCATCTCTCTATTTTATTTTTTTTTAAGGATTTACTTATCCATTTTAGACAGAGAGCTGGGGGAGAGGGAGAGAGCAAATCCCAAGCATACTCCCCTCTGAGTGTGCCTGATGTGGGGCTCGATTCCACAAGCCCGAGATCATGACCTGAGCCGAAATCAAGAGTCAGACACCTAACTGACTGAGCCACCCAGGCATCCCATTGCTCTCTCTTTAAAAAAAAAAAAAAAAAGCAGCAAGCTATTTGTTCCCACTGACCTCTGGAAAGGCTTTAAATTTTCAGCAAAGTCAAATGTCAGTAATTCTAAACTTTTTTTCCTTATAGGAAGTCATTAATTGCTACTGTAGAAAAACAACTTCTAGGTGAACACTTAACAGCAATTCTTCAGAAAGGTAATTGACCAGTTTATAAAGAGATCACTTTTAAAATGGTAGCAGCAAATAAGTAAAAAAAAATTCTTAAGGATTACCCTTTTAAGAAGTTTGATACTTTGTGGCTGCTTTTCTGAGAATGGACATAATCCTTTTTCCCTATTTATCATGGTAAACTTTGAGGAGGTGCTTCTTGGCTTAATTTAAAGATACAGGAACTGAGAATGAGAGGGGTCCACTAACATCAGTAAAAACAAAAAGCAACAGTGGGAATATGGGAATTCTTGACTTAACTTGTAAGACTACGGTAGGGGAAAGAATTTCTTCTTACACTAAAGTGTATATGTTCATAGCATATAAAACCAAGCACTTCTAATCCCAAATGATCTTAAGAGTAAACCCCGAATTTTACTTGGACAATGCCAGAAATAGACAGAAGCCTTACCTTTCTCTCCAACCATCTTTTCTTTTATATAAAATGGATATATTTTAGAACTTTAATGCAGTTACACTATTAGTTCATTCTGAAAATGGAATGCATTAGAATCTTGTTCAAACTTGGCCTATTAGTGCACGGTTTTTGAAATACTGCAGACCATATCCAATACTCTGAAATACAGTTGTGTATACTAATTAGTGCCAGATGTAGGATGGCTACTGCACATATGAGTGAGTTATTTATAATGTGTATTTAAGTAAATCAGTTTTTACGAATTGGTTTATACATCTGATCTACCATGCTAAATAGCACAAACCATTACAGAATTGTTTTTGTATTTATATAAACTAAAGCTCCTTGTATTTAGTTTTCATTTGGAAAGGTGATGTATCTATTTGGATTTAAGAGAAAACAAATCTTTATATTAAAATTCATAGACTAGTAATAGTTTAGACCAGTATCACAATAATAATTTAACTTAATTTTCATTAAAATGTCTGGCATTTTTGTTCACTATTTTTAATGCCAAAATGTTTGAAAATTCAGGTTTAAATAACCTCCTTGATGAAAACCGAATTCAAGATTTGTCTCTCCTGTATCAGCTCTTCAGTAGAGTTCGAGGTGGAGTTCAGGTTCTCTTGCAGCAGTGGATTGAATACATTAAGGTATTAACAATTAACCTGTGGCGTTTTTTCTCTTATGTCTTAAAATCAGAGTACATATCAGCAAGCATTTCTTAATTGTTAGACCCAGTTTTTTTTTAAGTAATGTGAGTTTTGAGGGCAGTCAACCTGAGAATGATCTGTGTAACAGATCAGCAATAAAAGTTATCTTCTTGATATATGATGGGATTTCTAGCTCCAATATTGAGAATAGTGAATATGGGGGGAAAAAAGAGGACTTTTTTGGGGTCCAAAATTTCTTTCCTTTCTTCAATTTTATACTGAAGCCAGATTGCCATTTAAAAAAAAATTCATACCTCACTTCCTTAAAAGTAGGGACAAAAGCCTAGAGGCTTATAATAATGCCCTATTATGATACTGTATACCCAGTGGGTCATTCCTTATTTTGTGATTATAGATGAATGGTTATCAGTCTGGATGTTCTATCACTTTATTTTTCTTTTCCTCACTTCAAAAACAGCTTTATTTTATTTTAATATCTTGTAATTTAAAAATGTGTACCTACTTAAAATATGATTTGGGAATTGTTTTCATCAGATAATTCAATTTTAAAAAGTGGTCATTTTTGTTTTTTAGGCATTTGGCAGCACTATTGTAATTAATCCTGAAAAAGATAAAACCATGGTTCAAGAATTGCTGGATTTTAAAGATAAGGTTGACCATATAATTGATATTTGCTTTCTGAAAAATGAAAAATTTATCAATGCCATGAAAGAAGCATTCGAAACATTCATTAACAAAAGACCAAACAAACCTGCTGAACTTATAGGTATTTTTCCAGTCTTTTTTCCCCCGGCTATTTAATGTTCTTTTATTCATAAAATTTCAGTCAATTTGAAATTTTGACAAGGTTGTGTAGTTTATTAACACATTTATTTGGGGTTGCTTAGGTGCTAGTTTCTAAGAACCCTAGATATAAGGAATAAGTAAAGAACATCTCAAGGTAGAGAACATCTCAAGTTCACATGCCAAACATAATGTTCTTTCTTTGTAAGATAGTACATTGAACCCTGTTTACTCTTATTTATACGAAGCTGGATATCTGTTTTCTAAGCCTATAGCAATTTAGAGGTAGGGCAGGGTGCTACTTCTAGAGGCCCGCACTTAGTGCTACAGGAGAGGGTAGCAAGAAATTACAGTTGCTAGCGAGAAAGGAAAAATGTCCAGGACAAAAATAAGCTTAATAATCTGGGCCCATTTAGTGTAAGGCTGTGGTATACAGCAGTGTTTCTCAGATTTCCCTACCAAACTTCCCTTTAATGTCAGAAGGAGAGGTACCCTGTGATGAAGGTCTAGGGTCTTCTGCCAGAAGGATAAAATTTCGTTGGTCTACTACTTATCCTTTAATTTTTTGGCAAATTTTGCCTTTTACTCTGTGATGTGTCTGGTTTGTTTTAATAAGTAGTGTTTTAAGGTTCCTTAACATCAGTGTAAAATGGACACCCCAGGAGATGTGCCAGGTCTTTCAGTGGCTTTTTTTTTTTTGAGATGTACTTGACATACAATATTATTTGAGTTTCAGATGTACAACATAGTGATTCAGTGTTTGTATACATTGTGAAATGATCACCACAATAAGCCTAGTTACCATCTGTCCCCTTACAGAGTTAATACAATATTTATGGACTGTATTCCCTATGCTGTACATTATGTCCCCATGACTTACTTATTTTATCACTGAATTTGTACTTCTTTATCCCCTCCACCCATTTTGGCACCCCAGCCCCCCCTTCCCTCTGGCAACCACCAGTCTGTTCTCCGTATTTCAGTCTGAATTTTGTTTTGTTTTTTAGATTCCACATATAAGTGAAACCACACGGTATTTGTCTTATTTCTGTCTTCATTTCACTTAGCATAAAACCCTTAAGATCCATGTTATCGCAGAAGGCAAGATTTCATTCTTTTTATGACTGAGTAGTATTCCATTACACACACACCCACACATACCCATTCTTATCCATTCATCCACTGATGAACACTTAGGTTGTTTCCCTATCTTGGATATTGTAAATAATGCTACAGTGAACATGGGGGTGTGTATGTCTTAGTGTTTGCATTATCTTTGTAGTGGAATTGCTGGATCATATGGTAGCACTGTTAATTTTTTAAGGACCGTCCATACTGTTTTCCATGGTGGCTGCACCAGTTTGTATCCCCACCGACACTGCACGAGGGTTCCCTTTTATCCACATCTTCACCAAACATTTTTTTGTCTTTTCAGTCCTAGCTATTCTGACAGATGTGAGGTGCTATCCCATTATGATTTTGATTTGCATTTCCCTGTTGATTAGTGATATTGAGCATCTTTTCATGTGCTTGTTGGCCATCTGTATGTCTTTGGAAAAAGACATTCAGATCCTCTGCCAGTTTCTTAACTGGATTTTTTTGTTACTGAGTTGTATGGGTTCTTTATCTATGTTGGGTATTAACCCCTTATTGGATATATGATTTGCAAATATCTTCATTCCATCTTTTCCCAAAAAGGCCGCCTTTTCATTTTGTTGATGATTTCCTTCTCTGTGCAGAAGTTTTTTAGTTGAAGTCCTATTTGTGTATTTTTGCATTCGTTTCCCTTGCATTTGGAGTCATACTCAGAAAAAAAAACATTGCTAAGACCTGTGTCCAGGAGCCTACAGCTTATGTTTTCTTTTCTTTTTTTTTTTTAAGATTTTATTTATTTATTTGACGGAGAGAGACACAGCGAGAGAGGGAACACAAGCAGGGGGAGTGGGAGAGGGAGAAGCAGGCTTCCCGCTGAGCAGGGAGCCCGATGCGGGGCTCGGTCCCAGGACCCTGGGATCATGACCTGAGCCGAAGGCAGACGCTTAACGACTGAGCCACCCAGGTGCCCCCAGCCTATGTTTTCTTCCAGGAGTTTATGGTTTCAGGTCTTCATCCATCCATTAAAAAGACAGTCAAGTCTCTAATCCATTTTGAGTTAATTTTTCTGTATGGTGTAAGATCATGGTCCAGTTTCATTCTTTTGCATGTGGCTGTCCAGTTTTCCCCAGTACCATTTATTGAAGAGACTGTCTTTTTTCCCATCATATATTCTTGCCTCCTTTGGCATAGATTAATTGACCATATAAGCATGGGTTTATTTCTGGGCTCTCTATGCTGTTCCGTTGATATGTATGTCTCTTTATATGTTAATACCATGCCGTTTTGATTACTACTACAGGGGTTTATTTGGTTTGTTTTTTTAAAATATGGAATGCTTCATGAATTTGCATGTCATCCTTGGAGGGGCCATGCTAATCTCTGTATCCTTCCAATTTTAGTCATACGTGCTGCCAAAGTGAGCAATGATTACTAAAGTTTTGTAGTATAGTTTGAAATCAGGGAGCATGATACCTCTGGCTTTGTTCTTCTTTCTCAGGATTAGCTATTTGGGATCTTTTGTGGTTCTATACATATTTTTAAATTACTTGTTATAGTTTTGTGGAAAATGCCATTGGGATTTTGATAGGGATTGCATTCAATCTGTAGATTACTCCCTCTGCCCCTTCCCCTGCTTGTGCTTTGTGTCTCTCTCAAATAAATAGATAAAATCTTTTTAAAAAATTTACTTTTAGGTATTTTATTTTTTTTTTTAAGATTTATTTATTTGAGAGAGAGAGCAGGGGGAGGGGCAAAAGGAGAGGGAGAGGGAGTCTCAAGCAGACTCCATATGGTGTTCCATTTTGCGACCCTGAGATCACGACCTGAGCTGAAACCAAGAGTTGGATGCTTAACCGACTGTGCCACCTAGGTGCCCTGGTATTTTATTCTTTTTGATGCAGTTGTAAATGGGATTGTTTTCTTGAGTTCTCTTCCTGATAGTTTGTTATTAGTGTATAGAAACACAACAGACTTTTGTATATTTTGTGTTCTGCAACTTTACTGAATTCATTTATTCTAATAGTTCCTCGGTGGTCTTTTGGGTTTTCAATGTCTAGTGTCATGTCATGTACAAATAGTGACAGTTTTACTTCTTCCTTTCCACTTTGTATGCCTTTTATTTCTTTTCCTTGCCTAATTGCTGTGACTAGACTTCCAATACAGTGTTGAATAAGAGTGAGTATAGTGGGTATCCTTGTCTTGTTCCTGATCTTAGAGGAAAGCTTTTCACTGTTGAGTATGATATTAGCTGTGAGTATGTCATATATGGCCTTTATTTTGTTGAAGTATGGTCCTGCTATACCCACTTTGTTGAGAGTTTTTAACATAAGTGGATGTTGAATTTTGTCAAATGCTTTTTCTATATCTGTTGATGATCATATGATTTTTATCTTTCATTTTGTTAATGTGGTGTATCCTGTTGATTGATTTGTGGATGTTGAACCATCTTTTCATCCCTGAAGTAAATCCCACTTGATCATGGTGTAAGACCCTTTCAGTGTATTGTCGACTTCAGTTACCACATCCAAGCCCCCTACCTACGCTAGCAGGCTATGTGGAAAGTGCAGTGATGGTGTCTGCCATCATCTTGATCTCTAGGGAGCATATGAGCTATATCCCGCCCCTCCGGCTGATAGGCCCCCAAGTCAGCAAATGTATCTTTCACATACAGTCTAGGTGCTTTTCAAACTGCTGTTTTTTCACTGGGTCTTGGGGTGAGCCACGCCACAAGAGAGTCCCCCAAGAATGGAATCTCCATTTCCTATAGCACTTTGGGATCCCTGGAAATCAGTTCTGTTTGTTTTTTAAGTCTGACGTTTCGGGGGCTCATCTCTGTAGTGCAGATCACTGGGGCCAGGGTGCCTGAAGTAAGGCACCAACCCGTTCTTCCTCCAAGAGAAGCACCTGTCTGGTGAAATCTTTCCCTGTTGTGTGTTGTTATACCTCTGTTGTCTCTGCCTCTGCTCCGCATCTTGATGTGATCCTTTCATCCTTTGTTGTGGAGAAGAGTTCATCTAGTTTTCAGATGTTTTTCAAAAGGAAATGCTCCATGTAGCTGTAGCTGGGAGTGTGTTCATGGGAGGAGGTGTGTTTGGGCTCTTCCTATTCTGCCATCTTGGCCCTCCCTCCCATCCTCAGTGGCTTTGATGACTCCAGCATGGTTCTGTATACACTACCTCCCCGACGCTACCCCATTTTAATAAGCATCAGGATAGTGGAAGTGGCAAGTACATTCGATCAGGAGCCGGAAGACTTCGGTTTGAGTTCAGGCTCTGGTATTTATTAGCTCTGTGAGATTGAGTAAGTCATTTGCTAACCTTGACTTTGGAGACTTTAAAAAATGCATGTATACCTCTGAAACATTGAAAAACTCAGTATATCATACTCCTGTTTGGGTATATCTAGTGCCTAGTACCTTATGGATACCCATGGTCACTAAATATAATCACTAAACAATGAACTTTCCCCCCATTTTAGCTAAGTATGTAGATTCAAAGCTTCGCGCAGGCAACAAAGAAGCTACAGATGAAGAACTTGAAAAAATGTTGGATAAAATTATGATCATATTTAGATTTATCTATGGTAAGTATTTTTGTTTTAAAATTTTTCTTTTCAAACAGAGCGCTCAGCAGAGAAACTATCAAGTATAATTAACCAGAGGGACTATTTATTTGGGAGTTAGATATTTAAAATTGTATTATATTTGTTGCATTTAATTCATTAGGGTACTTGAGGAATATTACTTCATTGCCTTGTGCTTTGACTTTTCCACTTATTAAGAGCCTTGATTTTTGCTACTTGTTTTAATTTCTATTGATGCTAAAGCCACCAGTTGACGCAAGTTTTTTTTTTTTTTAAAGTTAATGCAGGCTTAATTCTTTATAGCAAAGAACTTTAGAAATATCCAGCATAAATATCTACCTCTAATGTCTGTTGTATTTAATGAACTTGGGTAAATGTATACATTAAATAACTTGAAGTAATGGTGTGATTTATTAAGCACTTTGGAGCAATTTTGTCAAAACTTTTTATTGGACTCCTATGAGTTGTGTTTTATTATTTAACATAGGTAAGGATGTTTTTGAGGCCTTCTATAAGAAAGATTTAGCCAAGCGCCTGTTGGTTGGGAAGAGTGCATCTGTAGATGCTGAAAAATCAATGCTGTCCAAACTTAAACATGGTATGATTGTCATTCTTTCTGTTCCTTTTCTTTGATTTCTGAGGGAAAATGTTAGCTTAATTTTTACTCTTTAATTGCCTTTTTGATTAATCATTGTTCATATGATGAAAATTAAATAAGCTCATGAGGTTTCCAAGCTATTGTACATATCCAGAGCTGTTGCAGTTTTTTAAAAAATAAAGCATTGCTCCTGTTTTTGTTATTTGTATAGATATTTTCCATTTATCTTATGCCTAAATAGTAGATAAGGTTACTACAGGATTAAAGAGTTTGACTGTGAATTAATGGGGCATACAGTTTGGGGTAAGGATTTTTTCATTCTTGTGAATAGTTAAAGATCATATTTCGTGCTAAAGTAAGTTTTATATTTCATGTTTTCAATTTTCAATTCTTTGTTTTCACTTTAAAATATCATAAATGTATAAACATCTTTAATAGAATGTGGAGCTGCTTTCACCAGCAAACTTGAAGGAATGTTTAAAGACATGGAACTTTCAAAAGACATCATGATTCAGTTCAAACAGGTAAAAGTGAGTTAAACTCTTACTTAATTTGTCAAACTTAAGTATATTTAGTTATCTTCTTCCTGTGATTTGCCCTGAAGAGGATAAATAGAAACCTATATCTGTTGTAAATATATCATAGCAGCTTAGATGATATTCACATTAGAGGGAAAAAAACACCAACAAAATACGTTTGACCTACTTCAGCATTTATTCCCGATATATATATACCCAAGGTAACAAAAAACCCCGAATCAAATGTATTGACTGAAGTCAGGACAAGAAAAACTGTAGCTAGATCGTGAGAACAGGGCTTTCACTAGCATCTAATCACTGTTGGTGATATGTATGTTCAAAGCTGGCAGTGGCGGGGGGGGAGGTGATAGAACGGTTGTATAAGGCCTCTGGGAACATTGGGAATGAAAAGCTAGCTCCACAGTTTTGCAGATATTGGTAGAAGGTGGTTTTGAAATATTTAAGAGCACGGGTAACGGTGAGAGCAAATTAGATTCTGCTCTCAGTCTTTTAGTGGTGACTTCTTTACCACTGTGTTGCCCCGGTGCGGACTGAGGGCAGGCAACACAAGAGAAAGACCTATAGCCGTGACCAGAATAGGGCTTAGGTTCTTTGCCCTCTCCCCTTCTTCTTCCTTCCCCACTTCAGGTCATCCCCTGCACACAGGCAGTGCAGCAGGTGAAAAACCGGAGACTTGGGCTGGCTGGTGGGGTGAGGCATGGGGGTTGCTACAGGGAGTTCCAAGCCACATAGGGATCTCCAAAGGGGGCGACTGCAGGTGGTAGGGGGAAAAGAATGGAGAATGAGGGGCGCCTGGGTGGCGCAGTTGGTTAAGCGACTGCCTTCGGCTCAGGTCATGATCCCTGTCCAGCGGGGAGCCTGCTTCTCCCTCTGACCCTCCCCGCTCTCCAGTCCTCTCTCTCGCTCACTTTCTGTCTCTCAAATAAATAAATGAAATCTTAAAAAAAAAATGGAGAATGAGATTCTACCTATAATAGCCCAGCCATAAGTGAGAAATTATTTAAGTCACTGATGCCTCTAACAAGGTCACGTGATCCTTGTGTGCCATTGTAATAAAATACTAACTAGTACATTTAATGTAGGCTTCATTTATAGTCCTTTTATAACAGTTGCCTTTTATTTTAAAGATGGTCAGTGTTTGCATGTAATTTTATAACGGGGAACTTCTTGAATGGGTTGTTATTATGACATGAAATGTATGCACCTTTATTTTTAAGATCTTAGTGTATGTGTTGATCTTATTGTAGTATATGCAGAACCAGAATGTACCTGGGAATATTGAATTAACTGTGAATATCCTGACAATGGGTTATTGGCCAACATATGTGCCTATGGAAGTCCATTTACCACCAGAGGTAAGACTTGCTGTTCAGGACTTGAGTTATAAGCATAGAAATACGTAAAGCTTCTATTTTGCTTGTCTTTGAAAAATAAATACTTTCTAAAAGTTTATGCCAGCTGTTTTAACATTTTGCTCTTCTTTTTATGTGACTCTCGTACTTATATCATAGAGTGTAGTTAATGATGTCAAGTTTCTGGGTTCAGGGCCAATTTCTCTGACTCGTCTTTTAGTTCCCCAGATTGTAACCATCATTCTGCCCAGCTCTCAGAAATTTTTGCTCACGTATCACCTGGGGGTTGGATTGCTGAGTGAGTGGGCTTGAGTAAATGCATCCTAACTTTTGGGGAAATGTCTTAGATTCAGGACTGAAGCTTAGAAAGGGGGTTAAGGCTAGAGATAGATATTGAGACTCCTTTGTGGAGATAACCATGGAAGCCAAGGGGGTAGAGCTCTCCCTCATTAAGAGAAAGAATGTAGAAATAGGAAGAAAAGGGCTGAGACAGAACTTTGGAAAAGGTTCACATTTGGCAGATGGTAGGAAGAGGAACCTGTTAAGGAAACCAGCGAAGAAGCAATAGTGAGATAAAGGAACCACTATGGTTTGGAGGCACAAAAGTCACTGGAGGTGAATGTTTCAAAAGAGGGGATGTTTAAATGTTGCAGAGAGATCAAAGAGTATAAAAACTGATAAATGCCATTAGATTTGGTAGTTGGGAGACAGTTACCTTACATCAGAGTGATCGGTGGAGCTACTGGGTATGAAAACTGATATTAAAAACTTCCAGAAATTATTCCACATGAGGTAAATATAAAGAATGGTGAAATTGATAACTGGATACAGAGCTTAAATAAAGCTGTATTTTATTTATTGTAGATGGTAAAACTTCAGGAGATTTTCAAGACCTTTTACTTAGGCAAACATAGTGGCAGGAAACTTCAGTGGCAGTCAACCCTAGGCCACTGTGTGCTAAAGGCAGAATTTAAAGAGGTAAGTAGATGTTCCCCAAACCTAGTTTTCATCTTCGTCTTTGATGTTGAGGTCATCCTTCTTTTTTTCCTTAAAAAATTTTTTTATTTGAGTAAAGTTGACATACAATGTTACATTAGTTTCACGTGTACAACATAGTGATTCAACTTCTCTATACATTATGCTATGTTCACCGAGAGGTCATTCCTCTTAACTTGAAGGTTTAAGCTGTTTTAAAGTTTATCCTAAATACATGACAGAGTGACTGCTTGTCACAGCTTTGTGTGTATTATAAGAATGTGATCTTCATGGTTGAATTGGCCCTGCTGCAAAACCAAAAACCGGTAACCCTTTTTCTGCTATCTTTTCCCACCTGTGGATGCAGAATTCTCATTGCTGCTTCTTGACAGGAAACTTCTTGTTGCTGGGAGCTAGAGAATAGAGTGGGTGTAAAGGAGAACAGTTCCCATATCTAATTTCAAAAAAAATCCCTGCAGCTTTTCATGACTAATTTGAATCCAACAAGTTGAAAATGCATTTGAAATAGGGATTTCTTGCTGCTTGTGAAAAATAATCTGTAATGGCACATAAGGCTGAGTTATTAATTTTCATTACTTTGTTGTTCTGTTTTAATTATACAGCTTCAAAAAAAGACCTGTAGAAAGGTCACCCAGTCCTTCTTCCTGTTTTAGGTGGGATCACACCTAAATCCTACACTGAACATACTGGCTTTTCTGGATAATGTTAATCCATGTTTCTGAATCCACTAATTGAAAAATGTTTTTCCTGTTAAAGATTAGTTATTTGATTAATTTTCATGTATTTTTTTAAAAAAAGAATGATGGCTGAACACTGCTGTTTCTCCAACAGGGTAAAAAAGAACTCCAGGTCTCTCTTTTCCAAACCCTGGTGCTGCTAATGTTTAATGAGGGAGAGGAGTTCAGTTTAGAAGAGATCAAGCAGGCTACCGGAATAGGTTTGTGTTGAATCAGTCAATTAGCAAGCATTATTCAATGTCTGCTATGTGCATTCCACTAGGTTAAGAGCTTTGGGGGCATACAAAGAAATAATCCCTCTCCTCAGCACTCATAATCATGGAGAAAGGGGGAAATGACATTTGTAATAATTTCACAACCAGTAAGTTACCAATCTGTGGTGCCTACTAGGAATGTGTTAGGAGTTCAGTGAAGCAGGAGATGTCTGTGGGCTGGCATAATTGGGAAATCCTTCACGAAGGAGGTGATATTTGAGGTGGGCCTTCAAGTTTTAGTTAGGGAGATGGCGTAAGCTGCCAGGGGAGGTAGTGTGAGAAAAGGCTTAGCGCTAGGAATGAGCACAGTGTGGGCAGGAGTCACGAAGTACTTAACTGCAGCGTCAAATAGTGAGATACAAAGCTAGATAGGTAAGGTGAATAGAGCCTGATCATGGAAAGCCTGGCAAATCTAGCAGATGAAACCTGCTTTGTAGGGTCTCAAGTGTGAGACATAGTAGAAGTGGCTTATTTGGACAACTGACCTGGAATCAATAGACAATAGGGCAGCTTGGAGGTTGAAGAGATGCCAGTCCAGAAACTAGTGGGGGTAATTCAGGCATGAAGTGATAAGGGCCTTAGTTTAGAATGAAGCCAGTGAGAACGGAGAGGAGGCATCTAACTCTTAAGGAAGTTAACTACTAGGTACATGAAGGATGAAGGGGAAGGAATGGTTGAAAGATGATTCCAGGGTTTCTCACCAGAGTAGATTGGTAGTTTCAGGGCTGACAGTTGGAAAGAGGACACAGTTTTATGGGGAAGATTATGAATTAAACTTTGGACATATTGAAGTTGATGATAGTAAAACAGTCAGGTTGGAGGTGTCTTTTGTAAGATTTTTTAAAAAAATTTTATTTATCTGTCAGAGCACAAGCAGGGGGGAGCAACAGAGGCAGAGGAAGAAGCAGGCTCCCCGCTGAGCAAGGAGCCCGATGCAGGACTTGATCCCGGGTCTCTGGGATCATGACCTGAGCCAAAGGCAGATCCTCAAGCGACTGAGCCACCCAAGGCCTCCTTGGAGGTGTCTTTTGAATGTGGGATTAGAAGGAAGTGAGATGTCATTTCTGAAGATTTGGTAGTTATCCACATGGAATATTGAAGCCTTTAGAGAGGACCATAGGAAAAAAGGCATTGGTTAGGACAAAGAGGAAGTCATTGATGACCTTGGGGAAAAAAAGGAAACCATTTTAATAGAGGGATGAGGTAGAAGTAGATTGAGGTGAATGTAGTGGTTTGTGTTGATGAACTAGTAACAAATAACTGATCCACTATTTCTTCTTCAGAGGATGGAGAATTACGGAGAACACTGCAGTCATTGGCCTGTGGCAAAGCTAGAGTTCTGGCAAAAAATCCAAAGGGCAAAGATATTGAAGATGGTGATAAGTTCATTTGTAATGATGACTTCAAACACAAACTTTTCAGGATAAAGATCAATCAAATCCAGATGAAAGAAACGGTATCTCTCTTTGCATTCTCCTTGTTCTGATGCACTGTAATTATACGTGTTCATAATAAAAATTTATAAAGAAGATTTTATGCCTATACTACAGCCACTAACATTTTCTGTGCCTTTATCTAGCTCAGTATATTTCAGTAGTTGATCTTGAAGTTTTTTTGGGGGAAGTGCACACAGTTGGGCCTGATACTCAAGATAGTTTTATATCCTGCTTTTTTTGCTTAACATTAAATCTTTAGAATTTTCCATGCCATTAAATATCTTCATAAAATGGCAGATGGCCACACAGTGTTCTTTTACATGGCCATTATAATTTATTCAACTAATGCCTGTTGGGCAATTAAATTTATAATTTCTTAGTGTTGTCAATAAAACTGCAAGAAACATCTTTGTACCTAAATCTTAATCTCTCTGACACTTCCTTTATGATAAATTCATGGAAGTACGTCTTTGGGGTTAAAGAATATGAACATTATAAGAGTTGTAAAAATGATGTCGTATTGTGTTCCAGAAATTCTGGACCAATTTACACTCTGTCTAGCAGTGTGAATGCCTGTCCTAATGGTGCCCTCACCAGCACTAAAGATTATATTTTCTTTTTTAAATCTTTGCCAACTTGCTGAGTGAAAACTCTGAGTGATTTAGTTAGTATTTCTTTGATTAACAGTGAAGTTTTTGTTTGTTTTTGCATTTGAATTTGTAAGAGACTTTTATTACAGAAACAAACAACTGCAGCATTTCCTGAAACCATTTGGTTTCAATTCCAAGGTTTAATGCAGTACTTGGGGAAAAGCTTTAATGTGGGATAGAGATCAGTATCTCAGAGACAAGTTCTGTCTTATTCGCATTCACATCAAAGGTGTGATACTCCCTTAGAAGAGTACTGTGTTCTTTTAAAAAAAAAAAAATTGATGCTGTTATCAGAAAGAAATTGACTACAAAAAACCCAAACTATTCTTTTAACTTAGTTGCTAAAGATGGACATTTTTGCTTTAGCATTAAAATTGATAAACTGTCTCCTAAACACCTAAATTTCTGTTAGTCTTGAACAAATATAATCGCTAACACTGCATTTCTGATTTATGTATTATGAAATAAAAATTAATTTTTAAAAAGTTTGACTCTAGTTAGCTTAGCTAGTACCATACTTTAAGAGGTCAGAGTCAGTGTGTTTTGCAGATAAGCTAATGTCCTACAGAAATCTGGTCAGTAACCCCTTGTGACACATTTAGAAGATTTTGAGGACAAAGTAAAAGAAAGTGGTAAATGCTCCATCAGCCATCTCTACTTCTATCCAGCTGAATTCCTGAGACCAGATGAAATCCAGGTCTCCTACTCCTCCGCCATCTTGCTCTGCCTCCCAAATTATCAGCCATCTCTACTTCTAAAAAGACAACTCTAAGTGGTATTTTTCTATTAACTAATATTGGCATTACTTCATTGGTACAGGACAATATAATTAGGACAGAAAGGAATTGTTTGTAGGTTTTTTTCTGTCATCATCTGTATTTACAAGGTTTCTTTAAATAATTCAGTATATTTAAATCGTTAATAGTGTGTCATGTCCCTAAAATGTACAGTTCGTGTAAGCAAGCAAGTTTCACTTCAGGTACAGTTGCTAAGTTTAAAAACCTTTTTGTTAGGTTGAGGAACAAGCAAGCACTACAGAAAGAGTATTTCAAGACAGACAGTATCAAATTGATGCTGCGATTGTTCGAATTATGAAGATGAGAAAGACGCTTAGCCACAATCTTCTTGTTTCAGAAGTGTACAACCAGCTGAAATTTCCAGTAAAGGTAGGTACTTCTGTGTTTTTTAATTGAGTTTGTATATATAGAAGAGAACACATTACATTTTCAGACACAGATCTTAAAAACATAGATTAAAGCCTCAAGACCATTTGGAGGGACAAAACTTTTCATTTCTCATGCTCATATATATGATCTCCCCCGAAAAAACCCTGTTGTTAGCATATGTGGATAACTGTGACAAAGGGGAAAACTGTAAGGGCTCTTGTACCTGAAAGTTTAGCTGCTTAAATGAGTGTGAAATTTTCAGGTTCATTCACAGTATTTCCTTTGAGCTTTGTTATTTTTGTTATTTTTTTTTCTTTTTGAAATACCTTGGTATTTTGACGGATTTGGTTATTTTAATCTTCTGTTTAGTTAGCTTATCTAAGTGTCCATTAAAAACTCTATACAGATAATTAGCCATCAGGCATCTTTTTGAAAAGTTGAGCAATTGTTCTGGCAAGCTGAAATTGGTCATTTAAATGGACATGCTCCAGTGTAAATGTCCAATAATAAAGAGGCTTAGACAGTGTGGTGTTTTATTAGCCTGTTTTCCAAGTTTTTTTTTGTTTTTTTTTTTTAGAAGGTTCCCAAACCTTTTTGATGATAAACACCTTGTAGAGTTTGGATAGACTCTTGGCTCTTGAGGTTCTCAGGAGCTTTGGGCTTAGGTACATCACTTCACCTTGTTTTGTAAAATGGGGATGATAATAGTACTTAACTCATAGGTTCATTGTGAGGCTTAAAAGAGCTATGATCTATGGACAAAACTTAGCACTGGGCCTGGCATAATAAGTGCTTGTTAGCTATGAATGCTAATAAATCAGGCTTTCTCTCTTCTCCAAACCTAATACTGCCTTCTCATTACCACGCTCTTAACCCTTATGCTCTGCCTTACAACCATGTCACCTCCAGCCAAAGAGGTTACTGAGGCAGTTAAAGGATCACTATAATAAATAATTGGTTTTTGTCCGCCCCATCAAACTACTTTTGCTCTTTACTCTTCTCAAATCAAGTGGCCATTTTACACTATCTGAAAAACTCTGTTAGCAAGATTATATTCTTTTTATAGGCTAGATACAAAAGACAGTGAAATTTTGTCATCTAAGAGCTAAGAATGCAATCATGAGAACAAGTTAGAAGCTTTCTCAATTTTTCAACCACAAGTAGGATTCAAAAATCTAAATTGTTTATGGTAGGTAACAGGTAAATCTTACATTAAACCTGAAATACAGAGACTGAATTATGAGGTAATTCACTTATCAGACCATTTGTTGTAGCATTCTTGTAAATAGTGTTTTCTGTAGTACATTTTTAATCTTAATTTATAAAAATGCAACCTGACTTGAAAACTAGCTTTTGCCCAAATTTATGGTCTACTTATCTTCTCAAACTCTCTTGACAAAGCTAAATAGAAATTCTGTTTTCTTAAACTATAATGTATTCCTTGTGTGAAGTTATGATAAGTTAGTCTTTTGTATTTGTGCAGAGAATAGCTGGTTCTCAAAAGACCTCTTTAAGATAGAAAAGTAACAAAGTATTGTGTAATGGTATGACAAGATGTAACAGTATATGTATAGTATAAAAACATTTCTTAATCTGGTTTTATTTTCATTATACTTTTTCTTTTTAAAAAAATTAGGAGATTAAATACATTAAATCAGTGAGCCAAAACTTTTTTTTTTAAATGGGGTATTGGAACATGGGCTTGAGCCAATGATTATAAGGTTTGCACTGAAAACTTGCCTTCTCTTACAGCCTGCTGATCTTAAGAAGAGAATAGAATCCTTAATTGATCGGGATTACATGGAAAGAGATAAAGAAAATCCAAACCAATACAATTACATTGCATAAAACCTTGGCCTCCGAGTATTTGGTATCATATGCAGTAGCCAGTGGATAAACTAACCTGTTGATCCTATATTATTTGACTTCTTTTATACTACCAATGACCAAATGAAGCAGTGTAATGGAAATAGTTGAGTTGACTTTTTCAGTGGTTAACATGCCCATTTAAAGAGTTAATACTTAACCTTTAAGAAGAATGTTGTTGAACTCTTTGCATGTTATTTAGTATGATGTGCAGAAAATTCTTAAGAAAGTACCTGGTCTTCATGATTCCTCTTTGGAACTGGGGAAGAGGTCCTATGGCTATTAAAAAAGGAGGGGGGGTTCTTATACACCATTAATTATGAAGCAAAGGGTTTATTTGCTTAAAATGTCATTTAAAGATACTTAAACTGCATGCAAACTTTATTTACTGTACAGAGTTCTGGATGTATTTATCAAATAGAAAAACCACCCTGGACTTGGTTGTTCACCTGTTTTGTGATTTCCCTTGAAAAGAAAAATAAGTTGTCATAGCTATTGATATTTTACTAAGTAATGTTCTGTTACACTGAAAGGGATGTTTTAAAAAAACTTATTTGGAAACAAGTTTTCAAGTAGAGGGACAGTTGCTTACATAATCTCTTGTATACACATCCTAGATGTTCTATTTATGACCATGGGATGTGTGTATATGGCTTAGCCCTGAGTTTACTGTTCTGATTAACAGGTACTTATAATAATAGCTGAAAAAGAAAATTGCTGATCAGCTGTACTGGAAGAACATGGTGGGAGAGAAAAATCCAACTCTTCATATTAAAAATGAATACAATATGAACATTGCAAAAGAGACCAAAACCCCCGTGTTTTGTAAATTTTTACAAGAGCAAAAATTCATCAACTAGTTTTCAACTTCCTTTAGACTTTATTGTTGTTTGGACAGTTTTGTCTTCAACTTGGACCAATTGTTAGATTGTTACAGGCTTCCTAGGATTTAGCATTCCTGTTTTCTCTACCAAAGTTTTTTTGGGAAGCACCCCAACTTTCCATTTTGCTAAATAAACCTTTCATCCTCCTAACTTCCTAAAGACCTAGATATAAAGATCTTCCTTTATTTTCCCCATATGCCCCCTAGTTGGGAATTTCAAAATCTGTATCATGCCGATCTTAATTCCTTTCCAAAATTTCTTGAAGAGTTCTCATAGCCACTGGACATCTTCTTTTCAGGGGAATGTCCTAGGATTGTTCATATATAGAAAATAGCAAAAGTATTGTTACTCGAATTGATAATGTGAGTAAAAAAGGCTTCTCTTTAGCATCAGTGGGGGGTTGGTTGGTTGTTTGGTTGGTTTGTTTCTGTGGGTTTGGTGATTGGGTTGTTTGGTTTTGTTGTTGTTTTTTTGTTTTTTTGTTTTTTGCTTCCTTGTATTTCCTTGAAGGGAATCGGTCTTGGAGGAGAAGCAGAAAATTTTGTTTGGATTTTTTAAACAGAATTGCTTTGATGCTTTTGGCAATAGTGTATTTTCTTGACTATTTGGAGCCATTAGGAAGAATACCTAGGTCCTAACCATGAACTGAGGAGACTTTTGGCTCTTGTATCTACTATTGATTATTTTCTTGAATTCTCAAGACCTGTGACCAGCTACTATAAAAAAGTTGCCTGTTTCTAATTGCATCAACTTGCACACTGTTAATAATATGTGGTATTTAGAATGTCTTCCTAATTCTTTTTGAGAAGCCATTGCCTATATTTTCTCAGCTTCTCCCTGGTTTCCTTGCATGAGCTCATCTGACAAGGAAATGCAGCTGTTCTGTTTGTCCTCTCTCCACACTGGACCATTTATGTCGTGTCCTAACTCATCCCTGATGGTCTCTGAGATATATAGACTATTCCATAAGACTCAATAGTTACTCTTAAGGAATTTTTAGGTAGAATTGGTCCCTGTTAGGAGGAGACTCTTGGTGTCACTTTTGTTATCTTGAAAGCTGGTCCCTTCCTTGAGGCTCTTAATTTTTTGAAAACTTGATGCTGTTTCAACTGAAAAATTGGCAAGAATATTAAAAAACAAGTTGAGGGGAGCTGTTTAAGACATTGAAAAGTAATTGCAAACAACATTGGGTAATTGTGACTTTCAGTTGTTCTGTATCAGTTAAATTTTTGTGCTCTTTTCCCTGTGTACGTGGTGGTTCTATTTTTCTCCAATAAAACTTTTATTTAAAAAAAGTTTCTGGAGAAGATCTTTAAAATTCAAGCATTTTAAGAAAGTTATGAAACCACAGAATTTTAAATCTTTCCTAATGATTTAATGAATCCATATCTGTCAATTTTGTTATTTTAAAAATTTCTCTTTTTTATTTTTGTGGTGGTTTGGTGATAATGCTATAGGAATGTGGAGGAGGGTATTGGTAAAGGGTGAGTAAAATTCCCAGGAATTCTCAAGGTGAGTATTCATTCTTAAATGTCATATTTTAGAAAAATCAAGTGCAAGTATAAATACTGTTTCATTTGAATTCTCAAAAGTCAAATAGTTTCATAAAGTTAACGTGAAAGTAGTTTACATTGAGGGCGCCTGGGTGGCTCAGTTGGTTAAGCGACTGCCTTCGGCTCAGGTCATGATCCTGGAGTCCCGGGATCGAGTCCCGCATCGGGCTCCCTGTTCAGCAGGGAGTCTGCTTCTCCCTCTGACCCTCTTGTGCTCTCTCTTATTCTCTCTCTCTCTCAAATAAATAAATAAAATCTTTTAAAAAAAGTAGTTTACATTGAGGGAAGAATAAAAGATTAAATACTTTTGTAATGGCACTTGATTTTCCTTTTCTATTAATATGACTTCTGGGCAATTTACTCTCACTGTAAGATGCACATCAAGGACCTTACCAAGCCAGGAATCAAGAAGCTTTTTTAACCCACTTCCTGAGTCTGTTGAACAGTCTTAACATGATGTCTAGCCATACTCTTGAAAATTCTTACCCGGTACATGTGTGTACAGTTCAGGAAATCAGTTTATTCTATTTAGGCATCTGGGTCTCAGGATTTTCAGAAGGTTCTTTTTTAATCTTAGTATCCATAAATCTTTTTTTACATTAGCTGTTTTTTTGTTTGTTTTAATGACCATTCTGTTTAATGCTGTGAAAGGCAGGAAGTGTTATAAACATGTTCTGTTCTGTCGTCTACATAAATTTGCCAAAACATATTGTTCATTAAAAAGAAAAGAGCAGTACTAATGGGAATTTGCATAATTATGCTTTATATGCTATCTTTGGAATGCTTCATTAATCAATATTTTTAAGTTTCCTACAAAAATTTGCTTTACATTTGAATAATGATGAGATTTGTTCATCTGGGAAACACTTGGTTCAAATATAACATTTTGTTCAATTACTTTCCTCGCTATTATAAAATAGGTATTTCTTTTTTGGAACAGACACATAGTATACTTCTATATTTAACAATCCCTAGGGGCCCCTGCCTGGCTCAGTCAGTAGAGCTTGATCTTGATCTCAGGGTCATGAGTTCAAGCCCCACATTGGGTATGGAACCTGCTTAAAAAAAAATTTTTTTTAATTAAGTACAAAAAAGCCCCAATTCCTAGAATTTATGTCTAGCATAGTAAAAAAAAATCTAACCTTTATTTTGTAGAACCTTTTTTTCTTAAAAGATTTTATTTGAGAGAGAGAGGAACGAGCAGGGGGAGGAGCAGAGGGAGAGGGAGAAGCAGGCCCTCCCTCTGCCTGCCTGTCTGCCTACTTGTGCTCTCTCTCTGTCAAATATAAATAAAATCTTTTAAAAAAATGAAAAAATAAAACCTTTTCTTTAATTAAATTTGTAAATTACACAACATTTTCCATTTTAACCATTTTTAAAATTTTATTTGTCGTAGAGGGAGAAGCAGGCTCCCCGCTGAGCAAGGAGCCTGATGCAGGACTTGATCCCAGGACCCTGGGATCATGACCTGAGCCGAAGGCAGCTGTTTAACTGACTAAGCCACCCAGGCATCACCATTTTAACCATTTTAAAGTGTACAGTTCAGTGACATTTAGTACATTCACCCTTTTGTGCAACCATCTAGTTCTCTAGTTCCAGAACATTTTCATCATCTCAAAAGGAAACCCTGTACTCATCAAGTAGTCAATCCCCATTCCTTCTCCATCCAGCCTCTGGAAAGCTTTTTAATAAGTTGAAATTAGGAAGTGTGAATCATACTTCTTTTTCAAGATTGTTTTAGTTATTCAGGTCTCTTGCTATTCCATGTGAATTTTAGGATCAGCTTTTCCATTTCTGCAAAAGCCATTGGGATTTTCATAAGGATTCCATTAAATGTATGGATCTCTTTCGGAGTATTGCCATCTTAATAGTATTAAGTCTTAGTTTAGACCATGAACCTAAGATGTCTTTTTTTTTTTTT